AGAAGAAAGAGGGTAAAAAATTACCATAGATAGTAGATTCTAAGGGCCCACAGCCTCAAACAGCTGCTATGAACTGTTTGTGCTTTGTAGCAAGTTTCATTGTGGGGCTTGTGCCTTAATTCGTTCCTTTATTTGATTCCTTGCAGTATAAAGTGAGCAGAATCGGTTAGTCGGTGTTTGTTCCCTTGGTGTTTGCCTCATTTGTAAGGTTCAGAGGTAAAGTTGTGTGGAAAAAGCATGTGTTGCCCTCTCTGCCATCGCTCTCCCAAATGAGGCAGGTCTCCTGAAGCTAGATTGTGAAGCACTAATTTAAAGCCCACTGAATGGCTTTGATCCCCTCTTCACATTGTGCTCTCAGTACAGCCTGACTGGTCCTCAGTAGTCAGCAGCATAGCCCATATATTCAGAAGGTCTGAATAAACACCTCTAAATGATGATGAAATTACAAAATAGCGCTGAAAATTAATATAACTTGGCATTGTGGGAGTATTTTTCTATTTCCTCTCTCTATTTTCATTTTTTTTTCTTAAAAACACTCAGGCTCTCCAGAACATGTGTCTGTGAGACATCACTTACCAGTTTTCAAAATTGCAAGGTACCAGCTCCTTTTGGACTCTAGTGCAGGTCATATAGCTGCCTGTCCTCTTGCCTGGCAATTTGACTCTTCCAACAACCCACAAAGAATTCTCGTCCTGTCTACACTCTCTCTACTTGCAAGTTTTCATCTCTTCTGCTTAACACATACATAACATCAGCTCTAGTCATCATGTGGGTCCCAGGGTCTTCAGCTCTTCTCTGGTTTCATAGCAGAAGGAGCATGTTGTTTATTTTCTCTTACTGATTTTACTCCTCCTCTTAGGATGGAGGCAAGAACCAGGATATACAGAGCAGATAAGAAATGTGAAAGAGAAAGAAGAACTGCTGGGCTCTCTTTTTGTCCCTCTCTATGGTTGCTTGTGAAAAACAAGTTGTATCTTAGTTTGGGTCAGCCCATTAAGTTTCCTGCTCTTTCCCAGAAACAGGGAGGTAGGAAAATAAGTTGTTTTCCCCTGTGTCCCAGTTCCTTTGTTTTCAGGACAGTGGTGTTTTGTGGTACCTGTAAAGTAGCTCCAGCCTCAGAAAAAAAAATCACACATCTGTGAAGATGCTCTCTGAGTAGGCAGGATGGCAATCCCAGTACTGGTACTAACTTCTTAGCTGATGCTTTGCAATTCTGTCCAGTCCTAATAATGATCTGTACCTGCACCTTAGTTTCAGGGAGGAGTTAAGAGAGTAGTGCTTGGAGCAAGCCAAGCTTTGTAGTGATTGAGGTCACTGCTGTCTGGTACAGTCAATGCCTCAGACTGGTGAACTCCAGTGTTTGCATGTGTGGGTGGGAACAGATTTATATCGGTTTTGTGTGTCCTATTTCAGTGGTGAATTGTTTTTTTCTTTTTTATTTACCCAGTTTGTAAAACCAGAGTGGCCCATGGAACCAACTCTCATGAGGTGAGTTAAAAGACTTTGCAGTGTTATCCCTCAGTCTCCCCCACGGTGGTTTGGCCGGTGATTTCCAATCCTGTAGCAGGCAGAATGAGGACTGTGCCCAAACAACTTCATTCCCTGTTTCTCCCCCATATTTAATTGCACCATCATTTTTTCAAAAATCTAAAATGAAGATAAATATGACTTGAACCTCCTGACATAGAAGTTATTTTTACCAGTTTCTAGCCTCTATCATGCTGTGGCTTCTAGCATTTTGTAGTCACCAGTCAGCTCTGTCTGCAAGTAATCTCCTTCAGTCTCTCCTTTGGTGAGAGGTCACACTAAATGATGTTTCCATCCCACCATGTTTCTTTTCCAACGTGTATGTGGTACAGATGAGAAATGAAGCAGCTGGCTCCTTTCCTTGAGGGCAAGGGAGCAGCAAATAGAGATGGTTTCCAGGCACATTCATTTGTAATAACACAGTGGGATCTATGGGGAGAACAGGACTGATAGAATTTATCTGCCTTCCTGTAAGGCAATTGCAGCTAAAATTATTGTATGTTCCTGGAAGGAGTGCACTATCTATGAGACTAGCATCCTCTAAATTTAGGTGCATCGAGTCCCGTTTTAATTCTTTTCCATTTGTGCTTCCTGCCTTCCTGCTCACTGCAGCTCAATTTGGAGAATCCAGCCCTTGCTGCTGGCTCTCCTGATTCCTGGCTTCCTTTGTTAACAATGTGGTTGTCGGTCCAGGTTTCCCAGCTGCTCCTGAAACATGCACTGTGTTGCTGCAGTGTCTGAGAGCTGAAGGCTCTGAAGTAAAATGTAAATCTAGATGAGCAGAATGGCTGTGGCTGATGTACTGACTGACCAGCACTTCCCTTTAAAAATGCAGTGAGATTTTTCATGCAGACCTTACCTTGGATCATTTTACAGACAGTTCTGTTAGTTTGCTGGAGCAGCCACTGTAAATTTTTGCTGTCATTCCCAAGAACACTTGGGCACTGGATTGTTAATGAATTTAAGAGTCCATCTTCCCTGCTGATTCTTCTGTCAAGAGCTCCTCTGCAACTGCAACCTGAAATGCATGAACCTTTCAGTGCTTGTCCAGTCAGGCTTGGACTTTGTTTCCCTGGTGAATCTTTCTTTGATCTGCTTTCATACAGTGCTGACACATCTCAGCCTCCTGCCAAAATTCCATTTTCTGAGCAAAAATTAGACCCACATACCATTGCAGGCTGCACTTTATCACAGGAACTGATGACTAGAGCCTAGGAGAACCCATGGAAAAAAGCCTGAGGCCTTGCATGGTACTTAGTAGTAGTAGTCACTTTTGGAATTGCTGAATTCTCAGGAGTGATGCAAAAGTGTATTTATCATCAGAGTGGAACTGTCTTGTAATTGCTTATGGTCAATAATGGCAAGGGCAGCATAGAATAAATACAGTACAGTCCTTCAAAAAGATGGAGCATAGGTCTAGAAGCAAGAAATTGTTTGCCTGTTTTATTACCAACTCCTTCTTTAACTTTTGGTAAATCACTTCATTTTCAGTAGATATATTTCTGCTGCAGAGCTGTTATCCAAACTAGAACACTGACCAGAAAACTGCTTTTCTTCATAAGATGGCTGTTCAGAAATTTCACATACTGGCTAAGCTGAAGGTTCAGGCTTGAGTTTGGGCTTGGTGCCAGCCAAGGCTGGCAGACTCCACATTTCTCATGGGAGAACATGCTGTAGTTAAGCTGAGGTGCTGTTAACCTTCTTGTGGTGTTCTACGTGGCTCTGCATGAACAGGTGCCTCAGCCAGCTCAGCACTTGACCCCACTCTGCCAGCACCATTTGTTAAACTCGAACATAGATGATGACTGAAGGTTATGCTGCCTGGCTGCCAGCAGGCCAGAACATAACTGACCTTTGGTGAAGCTGCTGTGAGAGACCCATAGGCTGAAGAAATGTGTCCAGAATCACCTTTTCAAAGTGCTGAGCAGGCATGAATGGAAAGACAGAGGCTCATTATGGGTTTTTTGAGGCCGAATTTCTTAAGGACACTATCACTAAAAATTCTTGGTGCAAATGTTTTGTTTTGGCTTCAAAAGAGCTCTGCATTTACAATGAGGAATGCTGTTTAGAAATTATGATATCAAGTATTGCTCCTGTGTTCTGCCAGACACAGCAGGTCTGTGCTAGATGACAAAGAGCAAGTGCACCCTGCAAGCAAATTCTTGGAGCTCTATTCATGCATGTTAAAAACCATGAGACATCAAAGTGAACCAGCATAACACAACACCACAGGAGTTTTCTGGGATATGTGCTAGTCCATGGGGCTGTGGGCTCAGAGCTTTGCAGAAGAGAGGTTTCACATGGTTTCCAGTAGTCTAGGTCAGTTTTGTGCTGAGAAAATAAACTCTCTGTCTTTCCACACTTCTAAAATAGGGTGATAAATAGCTGCTCAACTTATATTTGTTTGTGGGAATCAATTAACTAATATCAGAAGAGAACACTATAGGGACAGCACAGTTCTTGCCAGTATGATGTTGTAGATGCTATAATGCCAACAGTCTACCCAGGCGGAGGAAGAGAGCAATGTTTCTTGCCACCAGTGAGAGACAAATGAGCTATGATGTTGCTGCTGTGAATCATCTTGATGGATGATTCTGCTGGTTAGAGAAGTTTCTTGCACAGGTTGTTACCACTCATGAATTAACTGTGTGCTGTCAGATGGAGAGCACCTGCTGTAATAGAGACAGTAAGAATATCAGCTGCAAGTAGGTACTGAATGCATGCATTGACTTGAACTCAGAAAATGTTAACCTACTGAGTCACTGTGCATGCTGGCAGACTGTTAGGTGTTCTAATGTGGTCTGCCAGATAAGGAGGAATAAGGACAAAAATGTGCTCAGACTTTTAACTATGGATATGTAATCACTACATAATTTACCACAGCCATGTGTTTGAGCAACAAAACCTATTAAATTCACTATTTTTTAACAGGAAAAGACTAAGGTGTTAGCAAAAGTTCAGTGTGAAAGTACAGCATTCATCAAATGAGCAGTTGATCATGTGTAAAGAGAGAGCACAAAGTGGTGAAGTTGCTTTGTAAAATCCTTCCAGTGACCCTGACTTCACTAAGATACTGCTCAGTCTCAGCAAGCATGAAAACTGACAGAAAATATATGGAAAGTGCAAGCAAGCAGTATAAGTCATCTACACAATGCTGAGGCAGGAAGCTCCAATTTTATTTTGGATGTTGCTGTGGAGTCACTGTGGGACCCAGAGGAATTCTCTTAGCTTCTTTGGACTGTCTTGCATCCTGAGTAAAACTGTAGTCCCAGGCAGGTCAGTGGGAAAGTATCAAGAGGCATAAGAAAACACTTGTGTTTCAGGGCTAGGAACTTTTCTGGTAAAGTGTTGTGCAACTTGCATTGACTGACATAGGTGGCAGGCTCAGGACTTAGCTGTGGTCCTCAAGACTGTTCAGAACGGTATTTCAGGGCTTCGAGGATGGAGTGCAAAGCTAAGTTTATCCTCACTTCTGTGAGGATTGGATCACACTGGTATAAGGTCATTTCATCACCTGTGTCAGAATGATGCTTGCTGCTGGCTCTGTGTAGGAGCCGTGGCAGCATCCATACTTCAGCAACAAACCTGCAGAATGAGGCACTGTGATAATAATAATATGCATGTAAACATGGTAGTGGAGAAATCAACAGAAAGACCAGTGCAACATGTGCTGAAGATATGCTGTCTTGTCAAAGTATTTCTGTGCACCTACCAGCATTGTTTCCCTGCTGTAGTTTGAGGCAGCTGTTGGTCATCATTCAGGCCATATAAATGCCTTCCTTTTTGGCATATTTGTTCCAGTGCCTTCAGGAGGACTATCCATTTGGAGTAATGGGGCAAAACCAAGCCAGGAAAATCATTAAGGCAGCATTTCTTAGCAGTAAGAACTACTAGAGTCTGAAAAATGTTCTCTGATGGTGTGGGTGAAGTCCTGGTGCTTAGGCTGTTGCAACTGAACTGAACCAAAGCATGGAGAATAGAGCTGTGGAGAAGAACTCATATATAGTTAGTACACGGAGTTCTGTTCTTCTGTTCTCATGATACAGGCTTGTGTTCAATATGAACTTAGTAGTCTGTGTTGGTCAGATGTTTTACTCTTCTGTTGTACCTGCAGTTGCAGTAGCTTCCCAGCTAAAAGCAGCAAATGAAATTGCAAAGAGCTGAGAAGAAAACATTGATTGAAAAGGAGAGCTGCACTGCCAGTAATGTTTGGAGAGATGTGTTTCAGTGAAATGAAACATCAAATAGGAGTAGATACTGAGAAGGAATTCACGTGTGGTCAATATATATCCACCAGTAGATGTTCCCCTTCGTTGCTAGTGAGGTGGTGGGTAAGCATGAAATTATTGCAAGAGCTGTGGACAACTGTGTGTGCCTGTTTCCAGATGGCCATCATCTTCAACCAGGAGGGCCTGAAAGCTGTTCGCCCGCCTTGCGTCATTCAGAGCTTCATCAATCACAACGCTGTGCTGTATAAAGTCTTCGTGGTCGGGGAGTCCTACACGGTGGTGAAGAGACCATCTTTAAAGAACTTCTCTGCAGGAATCTCAGGTACGTTGTGCTGATCTAAAAGAAGATGTCTGTTCTTGGAGCCTTGGCAGCAAACATCTCAAAAGACTCAAAAGACTGCTGAAGTGAAGGCAGCTGGTTCTGGCATACCATGTTTCCTCTTCTGTGCTATTTCGATAGGAAGGGAGAGAACTCACCTGCTCTGGAATACATATGAATGACATTCATATAATAAATATTTATGCAGTGGTAACCTGAGTCTTACCTGTTAGAAATAGTGTTTTATGTCATGTGGAAAGGGGGAGAGGGAGAGAGAAGTTCTCTCATTTCACCGCAAGTTCATGTGCCATTTGTTCCGGAGGCTGTTTATAAATGTGCTTTGGAGAGTATTTCCTGGATTCCATCATTTGAGAACTTCCTCTCCCTATTTTTACCTTGATTATGTATGTGTGTTTAAATTAAAGATCATTCATACTTCCCCCTAAATGAGCCTCCCTGTTCATGTGAGGCCCAGTGGTGGGAAGTGTCCTCTGGTTTGTAGATACCAGCTGTGTTGGAGGGGAGGAGGAATGGATTTGTCAGTGAGGACAGTGATCCTTCTATATGTCACCAGAAAGCAGCACTTGAAAGGTTTTCATTAAAGATTAATTTTATTTCCTTTGTGGGAAAAAAGCTCCTTTCCAGAGAACTGTATTCTGTGGCCCACCAAAAGCATAAAGGGATTAGCAGCACATGGATGGGAGCTTGATTTGCTTGCAACTGGACAAGTCCAGGAGGTGGATGGGAAGAAAGACAAGAAGTGTATTTGCTGGTCAGACTGCAGAGTAGACGTGGGTTTGCCTTTCACAGCTTCCCCATCTTTGTTGTATACAGCCCTGAGGCTGCTCCTAAAGGTCCACTCAGACCAGAATAGCAGAAATACTCCTGCTGGTGCCACCTGTGTGCTGAGAGTTTGGCCTGGGTGTTCCTATGAATGTTGTCTGTACCATGCCATCAAGCTGCTGTGGTGGGAATGCCAAGGGAAGACTGGTGGTGGTGGATTTCTCCCTGCCAGTAAAACTTACAGCACACAGGGAGCAGGGCAGGAGGTACTGGTGCAATTCTCTATGTGGTTTCTGCTGTGGTACATTAGTGGCTTCTGTCACCTCAGGTGTCTCCTGTGTTCCTGTGGTGCCTCCAAAAGTAGGGCAGGTCCTGACCACAAAATGTATTGCTTTCTCCCATGGTGACAGTGCCCTCTCAGGTTCACGGGGATCTCAGTGTACCCTGGTCTTCCTTCTGTCACACACCTTCCCCTTGGAACTGGCACTTTGAGTATAGCAAATTAGCAGAAGCTAACTTCATTATCTGAACTTAGTTAATTGGCTCGGGTGAAGGAAAGGAAACTGATTTCTGTTAACCCAGATAACCTCTTTATCTATGGTCTGAGAACCGTGGGTGACCTGTCTGTGGGTCCCTGCCTGTGCAAGCAGCCAAGTGCCAGCAAGGCAGGAGTGCCCTGTGGGTGGGATGGGTGGCAGGGGCACCTGGTGGGGTCCAGGGCAAGATTCGCAGGGCTGCAGTGCCACCTACTGTTCCTTGCACTGTTCCTTACGGAATTAAAACCTCGCATAAAGTTATTTACAACCTGTTTTTAATTGCAGACAGAGAATCAATATTTTTCAACAGCCACAATGTTTCCAAACCAGAATCCTCATCCGTCTTAACAGCAGTAAGTACACTTGGTCTTTTTACCTCTAGTGTGGCTGGAAAACTATCTAGTCCTTTCTTACGGAAGCATTAGTAGCTAGTGACTCTCTTTCACAAGTTGTCTGCTTCTGTGTTGCAGGCTGAGGTCTGTTTGGTACCACGAACCAGCATGACTGTGTCCCCCTCTGGTTTTCCTTACCGAGCTCCGGTGAGGAAGCACTGATGCAGCAGAGCTGTGCTGCTTGCCAGGCCCAAACTCCCCAGCTCTAATCTAGGCAAAGGGAGGATGCAGGTTCTGAACGTAAAACCTGGCTTTTTCCTGTCCAGAGAGATTAATAAACATAAATCATCCTTCTAGGACTCAGTTCTGTGAGGAAAGACAAACAGTGAAAATTTAAGCAGAAAAATAATGTTGGCACGGGGCCACAGAGGGCCACTAGTTGTCTGCCATGTGAGCATGCCTGAGCTGTGACCACGCGACCATTTCTGGGCATCTTTTGAGACCAGCAGTGCTTTGCACATATGAGTCCTACCAAGTTCTTGGGCACTTGACTGCTGAGAAAGTCACTTTACAGGACTGGGTCCTTTCAATTTCTGAGTCTCACGATTCTTTTCTGTTTCACAAGCTCTACTGGGGTATAGTTTCATAGTTGATTGAATTTTATGTGCAACATTCATAGGCATGATAAATGTTAAAGCTGTAGTTGTGCTAGTCATAAATCCTTTTATGTCTATGTGAAGGGAGAAGCTGTTACTAAGAATTTACTTCCAGGCTTAGAGTGTTTGCTCCTGTGGTTTACCTGCCATCTTGCTCATACACAAACATATTTCATATATGCTTCTGTAGGCATAGCAGCATACCTCTGCTGTGTAATTTGTTCATAGAATCACAGAATTTTAGGGGTTGGATTTGACCTTACAGATCATCTAGTCTCAACCCTCTGCCCTGGGCAGGGACACCTCCCCACTAGACCAGGTTGCTCAAGGCTTCATCCAGCCTGGCTTTGAACACTGCCAAGGTTGGGGCAGCCAAAATTGCATCTTCCAGTCATAATTAACCTGAGTTACTTATTTTAATAAATATTTATAGAATAATTTATACATTAAAACCCACATAAAAGGTATACACTTTGAAATAGCCTCTGCCTTGAAGATCCCAGCTGCGTTGTATGGCTCAGATTAAGCTAACAGCAGGAGTCTCTCTTATCAGCCCTTTAACATAGACCTTAATCTACATTGCAATATCAGAATGATATCCAGAATATTTGCAGCACAGGGTTAAACATGCCACCTGTCTATGTTTTTTTAAGGTGTAGTTCTAGTACTTAAAATAGTGAGTCTCATTCTCCATTCATTCCTACACTGCTCTGCTTCTCCAGCTGCACCAGTATGAAGAGGAAGGACTAGGTGCTTTAGAGCAGGTGAACTTCCAATATACGAAAGATGCTTAATTATGAAAGCAGTTTCTCTTTGGTGTCTTTCTCTGTTTCATGCCATTGGTTCTTTGCAATTACATTTGGTGGATATGCACCTGGAAACTTCTGAAAATCAACCTTTCCATTAAAAAGGCTGTTTCAGAGTCCCTTAGTAATGTGTCTTTTTCCATTATAGCTGGATAAAATTGAAGGAGTGTTTGAGCGGCCAAACGACGATGTCATCCGGGAAATCTCTAAGGCTTTGCGGCAAGCACTGGGAGTTTCCCTCTTTGGAATCGATATCATCATTAACAATCAGACTGGGCAGCATGCAGTCATTGATATAAATGCATTCCCAGGTGAGAAAGGACTTTCAACTCCTGCTTTGTGGAAAGTGCAGTGCGTGCTCAGTGTAGGGTACTGCTGATGTCTCATTGCTTCCCTGGTTGGTGACAGGAGAGGAGCAGCTAGATGGTTTTGAGATCAGATACAGGTCAATCTGGGAAAGGAAGAGCCCTAACCTAGATATGGAATCTGCTACTGAAATATCAGCTCTTAGGAGATATGGTCAAATTTTAGTGGCCAGCTGTAACATGACTGTCATGCCCTTCCCTGCAAAGAGGTGCCCAGGAGCTGCAGTGTGGGGTTGGTGACAGGAGAGGAGCAGCTAGATGGTTTTGAGATCAGATACAGGTCAATCTGGGAAAGGAAGAGCCCTAACCTAGATATGGAATCTGCTACTGAAATATCAGCTCTTAGGAGATATGGTCAAATTTTAGTGGCCAGCTGTAACATGACTGTCATGCCCTTCCCTGCAAAGAGGTGCCCAGGAGCTGCAGTGTGGTACTGTGTGGTGGGACTTAGGCTTTCTGGCCCTCATTTTGAAATGGAAAAAAAAAAAGAATAGCAAATTCTATTTTAGGAGAACCTTTAAAGATTTTTTTTTTTCAGACTTGCCATTAAAAAGTTGAGGGGGTGAAAGCAACAAACTGTTCCCTTCAAAATCTCTTCCTGTACAAATAGATTCCCCACAAAAAGATATTTGTGCACAAAACCAACAATACCAGAAATCTGAAGACGATAAAATTTCAGGTGCACAGAAGTTGCTGTAAAGAGTTTGTATCCTTGCAGGCTCTCATAATTGCAACTTGGAGTAAAAGAATTGATAAGAGCATTTAAAAATGGGTACATTTATCCTCCACCCTTTTTAGTGCAACATGTGTCTTGGAAACAACTAAACAAGGTCCTTGACCACTGGAATTGTTAAAAGGAGTTGTGAGTGTGTGTGAGGGGAGGCAGTAATGGCCTGTCACTTGTGCTAAATTCAGTAGCCTAACACAGGAAAAGAATACATCATTTCATTGATGGTGTTTTGCATAGGGTTCTCCCGTTTCAGAATCTCCTCTCATTACCTGAATAGTGATGTTTGTTTCCAGAGACATACACAGGCTGTTATGTAGTTTCTTTAAACTGTCATTGAAGGCACTGAGTTTTCGATATGGCTGTGGTGTCTTTAAATCTAGAGATCTTGCCCTGAGCCCCCAGTCTTCTTCAGGCTTTCAGTTTGGATCCTTAGTCCCACTGCTGCCCTGTAGTGCCTTGCCTGTCTGTCTCCACAGTGACTAGCTTCTCTTTAAAACTCCAGCTCTGCTATTCTCGGGTCACTCTGCAACACAATTCTGCCATATGGTGTTGGTATAATCTGCAGACCTATGAAAACACTCCTGCCAAGAGCAGTGAAACAACCTACACTGGGTGTCAGATGTAGTCATATCAGTTTTATGAATGGGATTATATTTCAGACAATGAAATCAGTGATGCAGGACATTCTTTTGCCATCCTGCATTTTGCTTTGGTATTTTGGTTTGTGTTGTGTTGTTTTGCTTTTTTCAGGTTTTGTTTTGGATTTGGTATTTCGCACAGAATGAAATTCTCCTTTTCTTGAAATGCCAAAAATCCAGATTGGGGAACATCCAGTGGCAAACTTACATGTTTAGAGAGGGGCAATGTCTTCTTGTGGCAGAAGTTTGCAGAACTGCCTTCAGCTTCATGCTCTGCTGGACTTCTACCCTAAGGCAACAGTTTTTAATATTCAGCCCAAATCCTGTGTTTCAGTTTGCACAGTAATTGGTCTTTGAAGGAACATTGAGTTAACAGAGTTTAGTCCTCACAGGAGGCTTGAGAGCATGGGGAAGCTTCTTTACACAAGACTGCAATGTGTCTCACACAGCTGTTTTTTTGGTGGTGAGCATGTGGGTAGTGAAGGTAGGTACTGCCTTTATCACCATGTCATAGGTTGAAGACCAGTTGGAGAAAGTCTGCAGGATAGCAGCAGGGGCCAGACAAATGGATGAGAAGGCTGAAAAGAGACCAAAGTGCTTTCAAATTTGTAACAGGTAGCAGAACTGAAAGAGAGGAGCCCTTGCTCTCAAGGGCTGCTGAGGTCAGAGAAGAGGCAATGAGGTAAAACACAGTGGAAAAGCAGTTACATTTCAACGCAGAATACTCTGTTGCCCAAAAGCATGTTCACAGCCTCTGTTGTGGAGCTCAAGCCGCAGCTTGGGGCCAGGCCTGAGCAGCTGCCCAGAGGCTTGCTGCCTTTCATGTGTGCTGGCTTTTGTCTCTACCAGGCTTGAAGCTCATTTGAACCTGCCACTCCATGTGTGTCGTCTTGAGATGAGTTTTACACCAGAATTGAGAGCAGATGTACCTGTAGGAGGATGTTGTCTGTTATCTGCTCCATTAGCACCAGCAACTCTTCAGATTTAAAGATAAATGTCTGAAAGGCTTATTGTGTCTCTTGTTCTGTGGGAAACCACCAGCACTATATTTAGCAATGGTCACCAGCTGAGATATTTTAACTGTAGGCACAGTCACATAGCATGTGGGGGTTATGTTTGTCTGACCTCAAATAAGTGAGAGAAAAGGCTCCACATAACCTGCTGAGCTCACCCAGCCTGAGCAGCAGCTTGTGTGTGTGTTCTGCAGGCACAGTGTAGGTGTACTGCTGGTTCTGGCTGAATCTGTGTGGTAGCTGGAAGCATCAGATCTGAACATGTGCTTGGCCTGTGTAAGTCAATACACTGCTGCAAATGCAGGACATGGGCTGTCTGTTTCTGTCTGCCGGGGGGAAGATGCAGAAAAGCAGAGTGTGTGCCAGGTCATGGAGAGTCTCCAAAAAATCAGGCAGGTGGCATCTGTAATGCTAGCTTTAAAATGCTCTTAGCCATTTCTTGCTTCCACCAAAGCTCATAGGGGCAGGTACTTGTTTTCAGATGCATTGCTGGGTGGACGTCCTTCCAATCCATACTCACCTGTAGGACTCAGGATACTGTTTTCAGCATAGCAAAATTCAGGCCTCTTGTAGACAGGCATTTCCAGAATGGTTTCAGTGGGCAGTGCTAGAATAACACCTGCTGGAGCACAGTTCACACAAGTTGTATGAATTTATATCCTTGTATCACACAAGGGTACAAAACCTATATCCTCCCACTGATTCCCGTGTGACACAAACCCTGAATTCATTGCCAGTAGTTTCTAAGGGTATAATTTAATCTGCTCTTCTTGATTTTGTTATCATTGCAGCACAGTGATGTCCCACAATTGACTTTTTCGAGAGGCCTGCAGCAGCCCTCAGTGAACCAAGCAAGGCACTATCCAGTTTGCAGCCTACCTTAGGTGTCCTTTGGTTCAAAAGCTGAGATGCCTAGTTCTCTTCCTCCCTTTTGCGTATTTCTTTTTTACAAGTTTGTGAAGTTTCTTCTGAGTGACCAGACAGAATTACTTGGGCCTTTCCACCCAGTGTGCAGAGGGCTTGCACAGACAGATCCTGCCTGTTATATGCAGCGTCCTTACGCCGTAACATATGCTGATGTCAGGACTGAATAACTACCCATCTTACTCCTATTAAATATTTAAAGCAACTCCTTTGTGAGATTGCCAAGTGCCCTCCAACAGGGCTAGTTTGTTTTCAGTGAGCAGACATGGAACACTCTAGGCTACTATGGATCTCCTCGCTGAATATTAAAGCTGTTACTATGGAGATGGCTTACTCCCGGGGTGTTTGAAGCACTCTGAGTAGATTTGAAGGCTAATCCCACGGCTTTTACATAAGCAAGAAAGCAGAACAAGCACTTCTGTCAAAGAGGTGGAGATCCTGTTCTGACTCCCATGGGCAGCCCTAGGAGTCCTGGTTGCCCCCTGCCGACCAGTGGATTATCGTGTGGGGCACTGGGAAGATTGATGTTTTGAAATGAGCTATTTGTTTGGTGAATCTGTTTAAGGGCCTGTGAGAAAGAAAAACTGTGAGCTGTTGTCTCACATTGCTGGTGTTTTGTGTGGCTTGTTAAGTATCTAGGAGAGTTGTGACCAAGTGCAATAAAATCCAAAGCGATGTAGCAGCCTGAATAAGAGTCAATTGGTTAACATATGGGTTATGAATACACCATAAAATCACCAGGCATCTTCAGGTGAAATTATCCTCTTATGTTTTTCAGGAAGCTGTTTTTTATTGCTAAGGAAGTTGGTCTTTGCAGGAGAATGGAGACTAAAATTGAATTATTTGTGTATCTGAGGAACTCTTCTGCCCAATGATCATATCACTAAAAGTGTTTCAAAATGTACATTTACTTTGTGGTCTCTGGTTCTGCTCACGTGCTGCTGTGTGAATGTGTGCTATTCACATGGGTCTTTTAAACTGTTATTTATTGCTTCAGTCTCCTGTATTAATACCAGGTCACCTTCAGAATACTTCTACAGACATTTTAAAACAATCAGCCTACCCTATTAAATACACTGACTGAATGTCATATGTCACCTCTAAATACTAAGGCAAACTGATAGCAATTCTAGATAATGCAGTAGCAGTTAAGATCCATTTCAAGACATTGTACCCATATGTTGCATGTCTGGTTCAATTTTAAAATGAATGCAGTGATAAAGCTGTGCCTGTGCCAGAGTGTTTAAAATAGAGCCAGAAGCTCTGTACGCCTACTGCCACCCTTTGTGTCACCAAAAAATCATGTCTCCTGGTATTTGAGCAACTGTTTTAACCAGGAAACTTGTTATTAAACTGCATTGTAAATTGTCTGGAATCAGTCAACAGTACATGCAGAAAGGTGGTTTCGATACTGAAATAAAAGATTGGTGTTTCTACCAAGTGCTGTATCATTGATAAATGTTTCCTGTCCCTCAAGTGGTTTTTTTCAGACATAGCAGGTAACATGTTTTAACTGTCAAGTTAGGTTAGATTAGACAAGCATCACATTGTTTCTTACACAGTGGGAAGCTGCCTTTTCTGTAGGGAACAATGCCAGCCCTGCTGTCCTCTGAGCTTCCCCTAAGTGAAGGTATTGCTGGGCAAATTCTGGAGAGGGTCCAAACCCTCGAGGAAGCTCTGCCTTAGAGCCACTTGCCGTAGTAAACCTGGAAACAGGATGGAAAATATCCATGTTATACCACAGAATTTGTAACTTTGGGAAAAACCTGGACTTGGCAGCAAATGGTAGAATATACCTGAAATTATATATGCACATATATATATACTTGGGAGGGAAAAGAAACAGAAAATCTGAAAGGAAACATCTCTTCTCATTGGACGAAAGTGCTTTTACAGCAAGTCTCTGTTCCTCTGTGTGCTAATCTGCTCGTGCTGTCACTCAAAATGATGTCATGGAAAAGGAGCCTCTTTATTATCACTTGGAGGGGAAGAGCAGCCAAAGAAATAAACTGTTCGAAGAACTTAAGAAAATTGCTTAACTACCTTTTTTTTCTCTCCTGCATTTTTTCTCTTTTCAGGTTACGAGGGTGTGTCTGAATTTTTCACAGATCTCCTGAACCATATAGCTGCTGTCCTGCAGGGTCAGGTACCTGAGGTGACCCAGCTAAACCGCAGCAAGCTCCTGGCAGAGCAGAGCGGTGGGATCATGGACGAGAGGATATGCTGTGCTAGCACAGGCTGCCTCAGCGTCATGGGAAAAGACTCCTCCTGGATTGTGGAAAGTGAGACCAACAGCTCAGTAAAACTGCAACATCAGAGACTAGGCTGCAACTCAGCAGTGTCCCCCAGCTTCCAGCAGCACTGCGTCGCTACGTTGGCAACAAAAGCTTCCTCTCAATAACTTACCAATGCCATGGACTGAGAAAAAGCCACAGGGATCCAAATTGTGGTCCCACAACCAGATCAGGCTGTAACAATACAATTGAGAAAAAAAAAAAGAAAAAAGAAAACAAAACCACCACCAAACAACACAAAACACAATAAAAAAAAAAAGCAAAATAAAAACCCCTTCCATTTGATTTAACCTAATTTGCTGATGAAACTGACTGAAAGGGAAAGATCGAGAAAGTGACTCAGATCCATTTCATCAGATTCCAGTTGCAAATCTGTAGTGAGTTTACACACACATGGGTTTTAACACTAGTCCTTTCATTGTGGGAGGGTTGCTCTTTCATTTCTATTGTTCTTTGTAATCACTGGTGACCAGCATTCTAAAATCAGACCTCATGGTATCAAGAAGATAATAACATTGAAATGCAGTGTCTGAATGTAACAGTGCTAGAGATTTTTGCCTAAAATATTCCCTGTTCCTTTTTGGTTTTTTCCAGGTAGGCCATTGCAAACAAAAGCTAAGACAACTTCAGTATCACTAAACCAAATCTCTTTAAACATTGACCAGTCAAGGTGTTGACAGGTAGCTTGCTGTGAAGCCACTGCACTTTGAGTAGGACAGAGCAGCCTTGCTTGTTCAGGGCACAGAACTGAGGTGACCACCCCAGTTCCAGCTTTGCAGTTTTTCCAGGCCACTTTGCTCCAGTCAAAAGCAGCTCCTAACTGTGCTTGCCAACAGCAACACATCTGACCCAGAGAGGGTGCTGGTAGTTAGGCTGAGTGATTTAGTAGATTAAATAACATCCTTTCAATCATCTGCTAGTGGTGAAATCCTAGAAGAGTTAAAGGAAGCAGCTCATCTCTTAGCAGAGAATTTAATTCTCCCTCCATTGCACTTGTGAGGACTCTGGGGCAGCTCTGCAGAAAGGCTGACAGAGCTGTGGATTTTCCTTGGGACAGCACACCTGATCCGCCGATCCTCAGGGGTGCCACAGTTGCTCCTTCCACAGGTCCATGCTACTGTGCATTTTTGCTCTGCAGATTAAAAATGAGCTGAACTGTGCACCTCTGTATGAGGTAGAAGTACAGGGCAGCTCTAGCCTGGAGACCTTTATTGCAAGCTGACAGATGAGGCCCTATGGTAATTTACAATAGTGCTTTATACTGTTTGCAAACTACAGCACAGCCAGTTTGTATCTCTTGAGGAACACAGTAAACCAATGGAGTTCACCTTCCAGTGCATCTTCTAGCAGCATCTTCTGCTGTTGAGAATTCCTGCAGCTTTTGCCAATTCTGAACACTAAATTGAAAATACTCAAGTGCTGAGAACAGAGACACTATTTTGGTAGAAAGAGTGGCCTTCTCTTCCATTTATAAGCCCTAAAATACATTTAAGAGGGATGGTGTTAAGAAAATTTCCTTAGTTAAGCTCCTGGCTTGCCAGGTATGGGACTTTCTGTCTTTCTGTAGCATGTATTCATGAAGCATCCATCACTGCAGCATTTAGTACCAGTTTGGTTAGTAACATGTGTTAGATAGCTACTCAAAACGAAAGGATCTGCAGCTGAAGGCCCATGTAGATCATGGAGAGAGGATTAAACTGTGTAGAAGATGTCACCACCTACCTTATGGTACCAGTCCTGGAGGGGAAAATGTTTTGAAGAGTGTTGTATAGCAAATCTTTTGTGTAAACAATGCTTTTTCCTTAGGAGAGACTGGTCTTCCAAAATGCCATTCTTGGGAATTTCCTGTAGCTGGGATGGAATTTTTTCAGGCTGATTTACCCAATAGAAGATTATTCCACCCCTAGGGGGATTACTAACTTTAAAGTATTTCTATAGGGACTGGAAGGGCCTTATGAGTATGGAATCAGCCAGATTCCAGGGTGCACATGAATGCAGCCAGCTTCCTCACCTACTGCAGACCAGTTCTGAGCTGGGCACGCTTCACAGCCCTTGTCTGCTTGGAGTCTGCTGGATCCCATGTCTGCAGCTCGCAGGTGGTCGTGGTGTGAGTGAGTCAGATGTACATAGGTAAGGGTTTATAAAAGTATTCGTGACAGACCAAACCTTTCGTAAAGCCATGACTGAAATGAAATCGACATCTAGAGTTTGGGGTTTGTTTTTGTTTGTTTATAATAAAAAGTGTTTTTATGTTACATGTGTAACGAAAGATACCCTCAGGAAGGAACTTGCCAGTGCATATTTTTGTATGGTACTTTCTTGTAACCAGCTGGTGGAGTGTTTGTAGACTTGCCTATTGCTCCCTTTATTACAATGGCTTGGGGTTTTTTTGGGTTTTGGTTTTTGTTTCTTTACTGGGTGGTGGGGATGAAGCAATGATGTTAAAACTGGGTTGCTAACTCAAGACCTTTCAAACTAAGTATGTTTACATGAATCTGAGTGTTGGATCCAATGGAAATGTCTGTATGCTGTTTCCTAGTTAGAACATCAAATAAGAATTTTATTTTCCTGGCTGCCTTCTGAGTTTTGGTTGGCCTATTTTGCACTGCTTTGTTTCTCCAAAATAAACTACTGAAATATAATTGTGCATTTTAAACTTGTTTACAAATGATTGTTAGAACTTTATTTTGTAATTCTCTGAACGCTTGCAGAAATACTATATTTAAATATTACTCCAGACCTTGGCAGTAACTAGAAAACAAGTTTAGGTCATTGGTGTGATCAGTGACATTATTCCCATAGTCTGTAATTTATTTTTTATTTATCGAATGTATCAGTATCACTTTAATTTACCAGGTGCAGTTATGCAGGTACCTGCTGTGATGTGGCATTACAATAGAGTTTTCACATAAATTACCATGCAATTGCTGTACTGCTATATTTCCTTGCAGAAATTAATGTTATGGCTTGTATACTAGAATGTTGTTAAATCACAGGGGCAAATTGGGAGACCAACTTTTCAAAGCCAAAAATGTAAATTATCAAGTATCCAGACATAGAATTACATTATTGCAAAACCTTCAAGCATGAGTTTGTTATTCAGCCTGTACTAAAGTGCTTTTCTGAATTGCTGCCTCATTTGGTAAGTTCAGGATAGTTTTGATTTAAGATAAGCTTCACAGTAAGTTAGTTAATATTCTGTAGTCACGTCTTTTTTTGTCAAAGTAGAGGAGTCTAGTAACATTAGACCATACCAGAATGCCCTTGCTCTTAAAATTGCAGACAATCCGAGGAGATTTTTCCATAATGTCTGTTTGAATTCTGTTGTTGTGGGTTAGAAAAGGCTTTTCTGTGTTTTCAGAGACATAGCTATTATTGCTGTGTTGATGGGAGCAATTGTACTAAAATTATGTGGTCACCAGTTAGCTTTTTAGGGGTTTACTTCTCTTCTGCTTCACTGTTAGGAATCCACAAGAACACCATTAGCCTGACTGGAATTTCTCCAGGTTTTGTGTCAGCATGGTTGAGATGGGACTCTGGTTTCTACTGTAATTTTGTAATCAGCTTCAACAGGTGAAGATTTTTCCCTGTTGAAGAGAATCTGAGTGGTGTTACTGCTGCCTGCAGTGTAAAGTCATCACCATCCTCCTCCCCCTCTAGCTGACTGGGCCATGTTGTGCTTGAGTTTGTAGCCTGTGCCAGAACATCCTGATCGTTGTGTGAACACCAACTGCAGAAATGCAGCCAGACTAGGAGCATTAGTGGTTTATATAATGCAGAACTACCACTGGGCCAGTGATCTTCTGCCTTTGGTTAACCATGTGCAGCCTTTTGTGCTCTTGAGACTGTTGTAATGATAAAGCTGTTTAAAGATCTCCATCCTCAATATGGGACTCTTTATGCAGAGGAGGTCTGCAGCAGGTTGCACAGATGGAAATCTACCAGTTTAATTTGTTTTCATTATAGATGAAAACCTGACCTTGAGGCTTCAGGAGGTAATGAGGATTGCTCAAGATAAATCCTCAAGTTCTCCAGGTTAACTGTGGTTAGTATCCAGCCAGGAAACAACCAGGTGGAGTAGTGGTTAGGTAACAGAGGCAAGACACTGTCCAAAGGCAACAGAATGAATGAGGCCAGAGGTGTTTGATTTGGCTGGAAAAAAGAGTGAAACAAAAGAAAAGTGCTGCTCTTGTTTCTATCCAATTTAGATTCTATGATGATTCTATGACGAAATAATCCAGTCCTTAGATTAATGCTGGTTTCCTAAAGTCTTTGCGTGGCAGCAGTGACAAGTGAGTCAGGCTTTTCCACACTAGCTTGCAGCCTTGCCTTCCACAGCTGTACAGAAAATCTTGGATTTTGTTTTTTTTAGTGCATAGAGTCTATATTGAGTTTGTAGCAGTCTCTCCATGTGCACACTTGCAGGAGTTCACTTGCATTACCCTGCTAATTTGTTTTCCTCTCTCCTTTTTAGTAAGAGGTGTATTGATTTCTGTATTCAGTATCCAGTTACTTTATGGTGTGTATTTTGTAATTAGGAGTATGTGAAAATGCTTTGTGTAGATTAAAATATTTCCTTTAATATAATCTCCTCTCGCTTTCATAGATAAATGGACATGCCATTGCAGATCACATTGCTGATTTTATTTGTAATATTGCTTTAATATCTATTTCAGAGGAATGTAACCTCCAGAAAAGTACTTTCCATATCTTCACTACCTTTCCTTTCCCTGTTCACTCTATGTGGACCCAGACCATCAACACTTGAGCTTTTGACTGGATGGGTTTCAGATCTTTCATGGATTCTGTCACATTTACATGGCCACAAAAATTACTAACGATGGTTGAAGTTTGAGAGGATCCAGGCATAAATGGAGATGTTAGAGTGATTCCTCAGCAACACAACCACAGTAGCATTTGTAGGAAGCAAAGAGAATTGTTTTTGCTCTGTGTGTGCAGGGGCTGTTGTGGCCTGGTTCACTCTGCTGTTAGGGCAGTTTTCCCACAGAAATAAAAAAATCCACAGTGAGAAAACGTCCTGTATCTGTGATGCAGAAGAAGGGTTGGGCTTGGGAGTACAGTCCTGACCAGTGGATATCATGATATCAGTGGTGCAGAATTTCAGTGTATGGTGTTTAATAGCAATCTGGGGAGATGTTTTCTTTCTCTCTCTCATTCTTACCCTGAATCCACTGGGGCTGATTATAGCAGATGCTTGTGGGCTACATGAGCTCATTAGCAGGTGACCTTGCCCAGCATGTCATGAGTTTGCAGAGGGCTTCAGATGTGATGGAAAGTTTTTGTTGATGGCCAGGAAATCTCTTGAAACTCCAGAAATAGCTGAAACAGCAAATGGAGTTCATGAAAATCAGGTCTTCCTCTTCCATCCTTTTAAAGGAAACCCACATTTTATTTCCTCCTTCCTTCTTTACAGAGTAGTTTTTAGACATAAATTATTTTAACATTTTTTTTTGTGTGCAAAGTCATATATACATATATAAAGTTATTAAAAGGTTGAGTATATGTTGAGTATAAAATAGTGACTTCTTTGTTTCAGATGTTAGCAGCCCCTAAAAATGAATTAATGAACTGTCTATCCTCTTGTAAAGTCAGTGCTGTAAAAAAATTTTCAAGAATAAAAGATGTATTAGATGTATCTTTTATTATTTATTTCTGATTCAGTATTTGATACAGCTTGTGTATACCCTTGTGACAGCCACATACTAAACCGCAGTTGTTCTTAACATGCAGTAGCAACAATTCCTTGGGATCCCAGCAGTTTTGAGAAGATTGGCCCTCTGGGTATGAACAGTGTTGGATATTGTCCTTCAGTCTCCAGCATTGCTGCCCTCCTAAGCATGGCTCAGTCTCGGGGACCATTTTATGTGTGTGCTCGGTTCCGCAAGCTCATCGGTATCTGTGTTCAAATCCAGCTGTACAGTGTTCAGAAGTGTGTCTTGTGATTTGCTTCAGCCCGGTTCGCTGTGGTTGCTGAAGCAGAACTCCCATTTTGTACTTAAATTTGTATAGAATTATATAAACCCTTAAAAGATCATGGCTTACTGTAAAACCCAAAAATACTTGCTATTTGGCGTCTTCAATTGCATGACCGATCAGATCTGACAATGGAGATGGTGCTTTCATCTAACAGCATTGATTTCTGTGGTAATATATTCATTTTCTTTTTGTTTGCCAAGCACCTGTTTTGGACAATGTTTTGGTTTCGACAGTAAAGCAATATGCAGTAGGTATTGTGGCATTATCTCTGTAATTGTTTTGAAGAGAGAATTGTCCCTTTCCGACACATAATGAAAATAAATGCCTTATAACAAGTTCTACTTTGCTTCCTCTTTCTGAGTGGATGGGGCAGCAAGGTGAGCAGCTCATTGGGGGAAGCCCATTTTCTTGAGAATTTGATGTTCACATCCCTCTTCTGTGTGGTTGTTCGCAGTCATTTCAGAACTGCTTGTACCAGAAAGATCTGATTTTCTCTTCTAGCACCAGTGGGAAGTCAGCTATGTTTATCTTACTACATAACACAGCTAAATATCACTAGGATTTATGCTACTCTCATACATAAGAATGTTTCTGTAGCGTAGGCTTCTGAGCTGATTATTCTTTCATCATCCTGGATAGGGAATTCTTGATTCCTCAAAACATAGCAGGATTTTTTGTCAGGACCCTATTTTGGCCAGAGAAGGAGAGAGAGGTGTCTCGCCCAGCAGCATCACATTTTGCTAAGCAGCAAGCACTCTCAGCAAGGACACTCATGTAAACACTGCCTGGGGCTCGCTGTGCCAGCCCCAAAGCCAGGACCTGCCACGGTGAGTTGGGAAACACCACAGAGCAGAGGGTCAGCAGCTACCAGCTCGTGGTGTATCCTCCCAGGCCCAGCTCTCAGGCCTTGAATGCCATCTTTCCCTTTGGAGAAAGTCCTTGGGTCCCAAATATTTGTGATTACTTGAATATCCAATTAAGACAGTATTTTCTCTTAGCTCCATCAAATAACATTTTTCCTCCTGTTGGTTTTGCAGCTGGTATAGACAAATTACATCTGCTGCCAGCATCTTTTGTGGAAAAAAACTTGTCTAACTCCTTTGGAGGTGGCTGTGTATCTATGGTAGTTTTTTGGCTTCTTGGGCTTGGGGTTGGTTTTTGGTTTGGTGAGTCGGGTTTTTTTTTTGTTTTGGTGGAAGTGTGGTGGGGGTCTGAGAGTTTCTGTGGATTTAATGGGTCATGTAGACCTGAGTTTGGAAGGAGTTGTATGGGTGATACTGCCACCAGAGACTGCCACAAAAGATAGGGAGAAACTAAATACAATATATAACTGAATTGTAGAGGAGATCTGTATGTAAAATGTGACTTCTCTAGATGGAGTAACTCCCTAATAACTGACATTTTAGTACTGTTTCTGTGGAACAGCTTTGGTTTCACTTCTATTCCTACACACATTTCCCTGAGGTTAAAGGGGTTGAGATCTCCTCAGGATGAAATTGAAAGACTCACAACTCACTCCAGTGCACTTTTCTTGCCTGGTGGCACTGCCCACTCAGCAGCTCCTCAGCCCTCCCTGGGATAGCTGCCCCCGTGGGTGGAGGAGAGCTCTGGGCAGCCAGCACTGGTGAGACCCTGTGTGCCCACCTCCCGTGCAAGGCACTCTACAGCCAACAGCGCTGATGTTTTTAGCAGAATAAAGGAACATGTCTAGTTCAAAGCCTGGCAGCCATTCCCTGAGCATCTCAGCTGTTCTGTGGGCAGCAGAGCATGAGAGAGAACGGAGTTTCAAACCACAGGTCTGGAATACAGCCCTGGGTTGTTCTTTTCCTCTCCTGCCAATACACATAGAACATCTAAAATTTTATGATCAGTGTTCAGGATTTTGGGGCCAGCTTCCTCAGCCCAGTCAACACCTGGTCCTCCAGCTGCCTTGTGGCCTGAAGCCCAATGATGGGGATGGTTCTGCCTGTAAGCACAATGCCAGCAAGGCACCATGGCTCCTGTGAGCCAACACAGAGAGGGGTGTCCCCTCAGGACAGGCCTTCACCTCTGGGGGAGCACAGACAGTAATTTTCCTGGTGACTATCCTGTTTGTTACTTCTTTTTTTCGTTCTAATCCACTCATGTGTTGTCCAAATAGCTTGACTTCAAAAGGAGTGCGGCCTGCAGGTCAAAGGAGGTTGATTGTCCTGCTCTACTCTGCTCTCATGGGACCCCACCTGGAATAAATACTGCATGCAGTTTTGGTGCCCTCAATGTAAGAAGGACATGGAGCTATTGGAGCAAGTCCAGAAGAGGCCATGAAGCTGATAAGAGGACTGGAGCATCTCCCCTCTGAAGACAGGCTGAAGAAGTTGGGGCTGTTTAGCCTGGAGAAGAGAAGGTTGTGTGGAGACCTCATAGCAACCTGCCAGGATCTGAAAGGACTCCAGAGAAGTTGGAGGGGGACTCTTTGTTATGAGCTGCAGTGACAGGACATGAGGCAATGGGTACAAATTGAAAGAAGAGAAATTTAGGTTATATGTTAGGAAGAAGCATTTTACTGTGAGGGTAGTAAGACATGGGAACAGGTTGCCTGGGGAGGCTGTGGATGGCCCAACCCTGGCAGTGTTCAAAGCCAGGTTGGATGAAGCCTTGAGCATCCTGGTCTAGTGGAGAGGTGTCCCTGCCCATGGCAGGGGGAATTGGGACTAGATGATCTATAAAGTCTATTCCAACCCCTAAAATGTTATGATTCTATGGCTTGGTCCAGTATTGCCCTAAGTGTTAAAAATCTTAACTGTTTTCTCTCTGATCAACCCCATGTTCATCAATGAACTACAGGTGTGACCAAGGTCTCACTGGAGCACCCAGGTCACCCAGTGCCAGGGCTGAGCTGTATGGCACCAGCAAGCCCTGGGTGGCTGGAGAGATCCTCAAAGTGTCCTCGATGCTGGAGCCTGGGTAAGGAGGGAAACTTCATCACTGTGTCTGTGCTGACAGGAGCCCTCCACTCCCCCCCTCTCTGTAGGACCAGCCCAGCCCTGCAGCATGCTGACAATGGAGACTGAAGCTGACAAAACAAAGGAAGGAACCCACTGCAGTTTTATTTTTCCTTAGATAAATTTTTTATATAGAATATATTACAGTCAGAGTTCTCAGCTTTTAATCAAAAGATAACAAGTTATTGCAGTTTTTTTTTTTACCCAGTGAAACTACCGGTGAAAGGAGAACTTTCTAGAAAGCTGTTTTGTCTTTTAAAAAAAAGAGGGAAAAAACCCCCACCCAGACAGAAAATAGACATGTAGGTTGCACTTCACACCCACCAGTGCCCAGCAGGGCAGGTAGGCACCCATGTGTACAGGGAGCACGAGGGGAAGCAGCGGCGATGGGCACAACACTATGGAGAGGGAGGCAGGCCTGGGTGCTAGCAAGGTCGGTTCCTAGGCACGGTGCTTCTGCTCAGCTTAATTGCTTTTCAATCAGGAAATGAAGGAAGGTGGGGAGGGAGGCGGTGGTGCTGTCACCTGCACAGGGAGGGCAGGAGCTCTCAGCCTCGCCGCAGCTCATGCAGCTTGTGGGCGACGCGCTCCAGCTCAGCCTCGATGGCAGCCAAGCTCTCCAGCTCCTGGTCCTGCAATGAAAGCCCAGGGCATGTGTCAGTGCCTGTGGGTGGGCAGCCCTTGCCCTCCAGAGCTATGGAAAGCTGGTGCACAAGCACAGCCAGATCCTACTCCATTCCTCTGCCTGCCCCTGCGTTTGTCCCTCTGCACAGATGTCTGTGCACAGCACTGCTCTGTCCTCAGTGTTTGATTGCTGCACCTGGTGATGGGATGAGACATGCTGCTGCCATCCTTCTCCAGCCCTGCTGCCTGGCAGGGCCGTCTCCGGTGGGTTTGTGTCTCAAGAACATGGGGTTGGAGGGAAATGGCTGCAGGTTCTGTGAAAAGGCTCTGGGTGCCTGCACTGAGCCAGTGGTGTCAAACTGGGATGGGCACAGGTGTCTACAGCAAGTGCAGCATGTGCCCTGCTCATGGAGGAGACAGCAGTGTGCCCTGTCCTCACACAGCCCTGGGTGTTTGAATGCACCTCCACTACCAAAGGATGCTTCTCTGTTTGGGGAACTAATGACTGAGGAAGTAATCAATTCAAAGGCTCAAGCTGCCCAACGCTTGGTGGTCTTTCTATAGTGGCTCTTGTGTATCTACGCTGTCACCTGAGTCTGTTATATTTAGTGCAGGCACTCAATCTCCTAACTGCGTGGCTTTGCCTGAACTTGGGTCATATCCAGCTGACCCTGTCTTCCTGCCAGCCCTGCCTGTCCCTCACAGCTGCCATCACCTGGGGCTCACTGCAGACATGCACTACTCAGGTACACAGCAACAGGCTCTGCAAGGGCTGTAGGTGCTAAAAGTGCCTTTTCCAATCAGCAGAGCTGAGATGACAGCCTCTCTCCTGTGCAGAGGGAGCAAAGCCCTCCTGCTGCCTGCAACAGCCACCGAGCACAGGCCAGCACTGAGCCACTGCCCTGCACTGCATGTGGCTGGTGTGAAAAAATACAGGATGTAAAAATAAATAGTTTTTTTCTCTTCCCTGAGCTATTTTCCTAAACAGGGACAAAGTCACTCTGCCCCTTCACATGGCCCTTGGCTCAGCCCCTGGGAAGGCCCCATCTACAGCAGGGTGCCAGCAGCTCAGGGTGCCTGCAAGCACCCAGAGAGCCCAAGCAGCTGTTGCAGTGTGTTTTGTTTGAAGTGGGTCAGGGAGTAGCCAGCTGAGGCCTGCCCTGCTGGAGGAGAGCTTTGACTGCAAAGAGAACTTGTTCAGACTCAGAACACTGACTTGTGCCGTGACCATGTGCTCGGGTTTGCTTCTGCCTGGCCCCACAGGCTGAGCCCTGGAGAATCATAGAATCAGCAGACAGCACTCTCAGCCCCTGTCTGTGCCTGCACTGGCCAAGCCACACAGCCACATGGCCCAAAAAGGAGGAGAGGGGACAGGATGGCAGCTGCTCTGGCAGAGCCAGAGCCTGTGCCTTTCCTTCCCTCACTGCTGGGTGCCTGGTCTTGATGCTTCCTCACTAAATCCCAGAGGCCCTGATCTAGTTTTAAAACAACAACCCAACAAAGTCTTGTTGCAGCTGTAAACAGCAGTTTTGCAGCCTCAACAACCTCCTTTCCAGTCCCAGTCCCCTTTTGGCTGAGTCCACCACCTTGCAGACAAGGTGCACCCCAGAGCCAGTGGCAGGGGCAGGTGGGGAACAGCCTTCCTTGGGGGAGAGACCTGGGGTGTGAGCAGATGGTTGTGACAAGGCAGATGGGGCAGTTCACCCCACTGCATCCCTACTTAGAGCTGAGATGTTTGACTTTGCTTTGAACCAGCACAACTGGAGATGCTCTCTTAGTGGGGGATGCTGATGGGCAACCTTTGGCCAGTGGTTTGGTGCATAACAAGGGGGTGTTTTGGAGGCAAGAGAGCTGCAGCAAACTGGCTTCACTGACCTGCTGCCCCAGCCTGTTCCCAGGCACATAATCATGGCCTGTCCCAGGGCAAACACCTGCCAAACCCATGCCCAGCCCCACTGCCCAGCTCCCTGCATTATCCCAAATCAACTCCTGTGCCTGGAGCTGGGGGTCAACACAAAGGCAAAGACACCACTCCTGGCTGCTGGGGAGGTGCTGAGCTACTACCTAGCATCACACAAGATATCAGTGAAGGAGATCTACAACTCTGGAATCGTGGCTCAGATGTATTCCTATAGCTGTCAGCCATTCCCACCCCAACACTCCAGGTTTCTCACCATGGCTGTGCTCCTGATTTACCTCTGTAGGAGATTTGACATTACTCACTCCATCTCTGAGCTAAGAAAAGCATTCCCTTTGACTTGGAAGGGCTTTGGAACACAAGACCCAACCCAGGCTCCTGATACAGCTCTGGTCATGATGTCCAGCACAGGCCAATGCAACAGTCCTGTCACTGGAGTCACGACTACGTAGGGCAGTAGTCACTAAAAAATAAAATCCAAAGGTCAACCAGGTGCAAATTTCAATAATACCCGGGGCTGGATGACTAAAAGTTCATTAAACATCTCCTTAACATCACAGAGAGCCAATACTGGCTACATTGACATCAGGATACCATCCACATCTCCAAGCATAGTTTGGATAACAGGTGGGATTTATTCATAAGCCTATGTACACCAACCTCTGTTCTCCTGTTAGCGCTGCCCTCCTCATCCTTCTTTTCTTCAGGCATAGGAGCAAGTGGGAATCCTCCTTCACTGCTGTCCTCCTTCGAGTGATGCTTCCACAACCTCCTCACACCTTCCTCTGGGCTGTTGAAGGCATACTTGCGGGACCGAAATGCCTTTTTCATGGACCTCTCTGAGTCTTCCCCACTATCATTTTCCTCCATGCGCTTCTTTGATGTCAGCTGCTTAGCCAGCTCATCCATTTTGTTCCACCTCTTGGTATCTTCCCACTCCCTGGAGGACTCCTCCTCCATCTCATCACTTTTGGCATCTCTGGGCTGGAAGATGTCCTCCTCCCCCTGCATCCTCTCATCCTCCAGGCGATGCCTTCCTCCTCTTGATGCCCGGGGCTGCTCTTCCTCCTCCTCCTCCTCTTCCTCCTCCTCCTCCTCCGAACTCTGCCCATCTTTGCTAAATCCCAGAGCATCGCCGTTGTCTGAAAGAGCATTAAACACAACAGTGAACAGAAGTGTTAACCTGGCTACACTCCACCTTTGAACTGAACCTTCAGGGGTGATGACAGATGAGTTTCCTGACTTAAGCCCACTTTCCCAGGAAATACCCCCTTATGTCACCATGTCAGTAGCACAGCTTGGAGACAGCAGTAAAAAAAACCCTGTAGGAAGTCCAAGAAAAAAGAACTAGTTGTCCCCAGGTGCTATGAGAGCTGAGCAGCAGGAAGAGCCTGTTACCTGCTGTACACAGGCCCACACATCAAGTGCTTGAGGCAGTGTCTGGGTGCCTCCTGGCAGAGGTATTTCTCTAAACTCAGTAAGCTCCTGTCTGAACCTTTTGGCTTTCAAGCCTCTAATCCATCTGCTGTAGTGCTCTGAGCTCACCCCAGGAAGGTATCAGTGCAGGTGTCTGGGATACATACTGTCATCTCCCTGCATCTCCTCAGCCTCCTCGTCCTCCTCAGCCAAATCAAGTGACCTCTCTGCTTCAGTAGGGTCCTCCTCTGTAGCATCATCTCCATCATCCTCACGCTCCACGCGCTCCCCTGTCACCTCCTTGTTATGCTCCTGGCCCTGCCTGGATGGCTCCTCTCCCTTGTCCTCAAGCTCCAGGCTGTCCCTGGAGCCTCTGGGCTCCTCCTCTTCATCCCCTTGCTGTTGCTGCTCATCCTCACTGAAATCTTTGCCAAAGTGGTTGTCCAAAGCTTTGTCTTGCTGGACATCCTCTATATCCCTGATGTCATTGCTCTCTGATTCCTCCTGGTCCTCTTTCTCAACAGGATCAGTATCCCTTGGCCTGGGTGCCCTCTCCTCCAGACTGTTTCTTTCCTCTTCTCTTGAATCTTCATTTTGCTGGGGTTTCTGTGCCATCAGCTCAGCCAGGGACTCAGTGGGCTGCTCCTCTTCAGGGCGCTCCCCTGCTGCATCTATAGAGGGAGGAACAAGAAAAGCCTCTGCTGAGAGCTCATTTCACAACCAGCAAAGTCCAAGCATTTCTTAGGGAGCTGCAGCCTTGCTCAGCAATCTGCTTAACCAGCCCATGGATCCTTTTGCAAGTCACTTCAGCATATGTTTGCATTCAAGCAAGCCAGTGCTCTCTCTGGTGCCTGAGCTCCTGGAGAGACTCTCGAGGCTGAAGTTAAACATATGCTCAAGTGTTTTGCTGTGGCACAGTCCTCATCACCATCTCTTGAGAAGCCAGCAACAAACTCACCCTGCATGAAACCAGATTGCATGTCAAAGGAAATCGTTTAGGAGTGTAATATGGTGCTTGCACAGCTCTCCCTGCTCTGAGTGCTGCTCCAGCATCTCATCCTTGTTTCTCCCACCAGGCAGAAGAGGCAGTCAGCCCTGTTCACAGGTAGCAGGAGGGAGGGGAAAGCAGCTCTGCTTCTGCAAAGGATCTGCTTCTGCTAAGGAGCCACTCAGCAGGAGCTTAATGTGGCTTGGGTATTTGCTCTTGCACAAGTGATACTGGTCTCTTAACATAATTAGCCATAGAAATCACTTTGCAAAAGAAAAGGTGAGGGCTAAAAAGCCAGATAGGTATGGAAAGGCAGTGCAGCCCCAAAGAGGGGTAAGGAGGGGATGCAGAGGGCTGGTCACACAGGACCAGTGAGCACCAGTCACACCATGCTGGTGTCACTAGACTGCCAGCTGGCCTGAAGGGCCCAATGTCCCCACACTACTGGAGCAGGAGGTTCAGGTCTGCCCTGGCAGGAGGGAGATCCAGTGCCACCATCCTATCTGTTGGCTTTTTGCCATGCTGGCTGCCTCAGCAGCCCCTGAGGGTATCACTTTGGGCAGCTTTAGACTGAAGTTTCAGCATCACTGTGCTGCAGTGGTTCAGCCACATGCCCCAGAGCCCTCTTGTGACCCTCTGTGGGGGTAGTGTTGCTGGATGAGGAGCCATCTCACCCTACATTGGCATTTTGTCTTCCTGACAAGAAGAAGGGAAGGGGCCGAACTCTCCTTTCCACTAAACCGCTTGTGTATAGTGAGGTCATAGAAACATAGTGACAAGGAGAAATCCCAGCTGAATGGGATTTCTAAGATGCAGGTGTTTTATGTGGGTGTGTGTGCTGTGTCTATATCAGGTTCAATTTTCCCTTCAGAGACCCATTACCTAATATCTTAGGTGCCTGGAAACATGGAGGGCAGGCACAGACCCAGGAAACTCTTGGCTGTATCACTGAATCTTTCGTGGGATTTCCCTGGCTGTGACTCATTTTGAGCATTAGGAGTGAGTTATGGTGTCAGCAGCAGGGTGGAAAAGATCAGTATCAGTTTGGTAACTTGACCATCACCAGTTACTATAGCTCAAATACTACATATTGTTTAAGCAGGTAAATTAGAACAAAGTAAACATCAGGTTGCTTGTGTGTGTCAGTGGCAGCATCAAAGAAGATGCCTAAGCAAGAAGCAGATGGACATATCAAGGCTGTTAGAAAGAACATCCTTGTTTACAGCCTGACCTGGATTTCCCAGGGATAGAGACTGACACTGACCTCTCTGCTTGTTCTTGTCATTTTGGCTTTCAAGGACTTCAGAAAGTTCATCTTCGAAGCCACTGCTTTTCTTCTGCTGCTGAGTTCTCTCATTGGCACCTGCATCAAGCAACAAAAAGTAAAAAAACAGAAAGTAGAGGTAGGAGAATAGTTCTGTGCCCTTTATATTTTCTACAGTGGACAAATCTGCCGAAGGGGAGCTGAGAGGTGAAGTGAGACTGGAGGATATGTGAATCAACTGCAGGAACAGAACTGCCATCAACATTGTCATCTGCAGGAAATAAAATGGTCCCTAGACAAACAGAGAAGCAGGGTTGCTAGGAAAACTAATACTGATGGAGATCTAGGGAATAAGAGATGCTGAACTGCACCACACTGAGGCCAATAGACAACTTCAGCATTGGAATATTGAAGGATAAAAATTGTTCCTGACAGATTCTGTTCACATACGTCTGTTAAGGTGAGCACTGATAGTTCCCATACCCTCCAGCCTGGTTGTGGGGGTTCCTCTCCTTAGGGCGCTGGGAAGAAGCAGCAGCATTCATTCCCACTGCAGAGATAGTCTGGGGCTCCAAGGCCCCATGCCTCAGCCTCTGGGATTATGGAGCCCACTTGACAAACAGAACAGCCTGGAGAAAGGGTATACAAGCTGGAGGTCGGAGTGTAGCTGTCCTGGCAACCAGAAATCCCCAGGCATCCCCATCCCAATAGGATCTGCAAGCCAAGCAGTCCCTGTCTAACCCAACTCACATTCTGCTTCTATGCCTTAACGCAATGGCAAGAGCCAAAATCCCCAGCCTAGTCCTCTCCTGCCCAGAACTGAATGGTGTGGGCTCTCCAGCCCACAGAAGAGCAGAACCAGATGCAGGCAGCTCAGAGGAGACCAAGGTAAACACCTTAGTGCTACAAGACTGTTCCACTCCATGCCAAGTGTCACAGCCTGTCTAATATCTGAGTGTTCCTTCTCAAACCCCTAGTGTGCCTGGGCAGCAGCATCCCAGCACACTGAAGAGGCCCAGGTTTCTTTCTTGAGGATCATCAGAGCATACATGGAGCCCATCTAAGGTCACTGCCCAGCTGGCCCCTCCACCATTTGGGTAATGACTAAAACATGGCTTTGGGAGCCACACGAGACTCTCCCAGTCTTGTCTCCCAAATTTTTCCTCTCTCTTCTCCCTGTTGCGTCTATGGCCTCCCTGCTCTTAAAACATTCTGCTAGCATTGCCTTCCAGCCATCCCTGGCAAACTTGCCACACAGGAGCAGGGCACAGGGATGCCCTGGTGATCTTCTCCCTGGTGATGCCCAGCTGCCACTTGAATTACCCCAGGGAGAAGGAGGAGGGAAGATCAGGAGGTACTCTCCCTGCATCCTGGGGAGAACCCTGATGCAGTCTCAACTGGGCCACCTGGACAGAGGCATCTGGACTAGCTTTAAAGCAGTCTTGCCTGGGACCTACACATCAGCTCTGGGCAACTAGGCATGTGAGAATAACCTTTTTTCCCCTTGCACACCCCTTTGCACAGATCTGTGTTGCTGCTGCTCTCACATTGACCTCTGGTGAGCAGCCTGCACCTCTTCAAATCAAAGAGACTTGCATTTGAGTTAAGGAAGCCAAGAAAAATCCCCATTAGCTCATGAACATTTTCACTGGAGTCTTTAGGTGCAAGTCCTACTCAATGCTCAGTGTGGCTTCCCTTCTGCCACACATAGGTTTAGTGCTAGACTCCAGCTGCACAGTGAAGGTTTTCTTGCCTTTCATTCTAGTTTGGGAGCTGACAATTATTTGTTGAATTAAATTGCAGTGCTTCCTTTTAGGGTTCTCCCACTCCAAAATGTCTATATTCTGCATCACCTACAAGTTACATTGACAATCATTGAAATCATCAGATACATATTGGAGTTACTATAAGCAAAATTCCTGTCCCCACTCACATATTTTCTACTGCAAGTCCTGGAACTCTATTTCCTAGGACATATTTTTATTATCTCAAATCACAAGGTTTGTAAAATGTAATATAAAATTTAAAAATTGATGTAAAATGTAAAATAAAAAAAAATGTAAAGAAATATAAAATCAAAAACTCCTGACCAAACAAGCAATAAACCTGTGGGGGTAACACAAGGAGTTATACTAGATGAAACCACTCTTCCCTATAGTTATATTCCTAAATAACTACACTGACACTGTACCTTGAGCAGCAATTTCCTGAAGTTCCTTCAATAAGTTTTGGTGGCGAAGGATAGAAATGATTCGTTCATCTGCAATAGAGGAAACTTAGTAGTCAGACAAGGTCCTTCCAGCCCCAGGAAATGAAAAAGAACCCCAAATGCCACCTCCCTCTTCATTTGCTCCTTTCTCTCCCTGGCCCTGATTTGCTGTCACACCTCTTAGCCGTGTGATTAAGATGACAGGAAGGTCCTATGAAACACAGACAGCTTCAGTGTGATGCATGGTCTGGGCCAGGCAGTGGCTCCATCCCTGCTTTTGGGGCCTGGCACAGCCCAGTGGGGTTCCTGTGAGGAAGGTGAGTGTGTCAGGGACCCCTTGACAGGCTCTAGAGCATGTGTGAGGACAGGACCAGCCCCTGCTTGCCAGACCTGCCCTTGCTGATGCCCAACATTAAGCCCAGGCCTGTACCTCCTCGGAGTGTTTCTAGGCATTCCTCACTGATCGGCAGGGGGTTTGGCTTAGATAAAGTATCAGAGATGACCTCTACAATGCACTTCATCACCTAGAAAGAGACAAAAATACAAATGAAAGAATGGCTTTTATGTCTTTTGTTCCTAAATCTACTTGTTACCCAGGCTAAAATGCAGCAGATGATAGCACAGATCTTCTTGCTTTTCTGGTCAAGCCAGAACTGAATGTTCGGTTCCTGTTTTACCCAAAGCAGGAACAGAAGGTACCTCCTGCAACTGAGAAGTGAGCAAATGACATGTGACAATGGAAAATGCTTCTTCAACGTGACACACAATTCAGCTGAGGATTTCATGGGTTCAGGCCATCCCAGAGCTTGGGCATATCAGGGGAGTAAAGGGTATCTGGCTGTATACAGAGAAAGCTCAAAATCATCCCCTTCTGACCCAATATATCTCAACTTGCATCTCATAAAAGAGCTCACTGGGAAGTTGTAGAGCAACAAGTGATCATTGCTGTTCATTAGGTGACCTAGAAATTTTGCATGCTATTCAAGCTCTGAGAAAGGCACCATAGTTAGACTGCAGCTAGGCACAGAGGGTGAGGTGAGGCAAACTGCGCTTTCAAACACCGCTGAGAAACACTGGTCTGAAACCCTAGAGAAGGACAAGGCACTCTGGAGAAGTGTTTGGCTTTGTGCTTTGAGTGTTCAAACCATCTGTTATAGACTGGAAGAGCTGTACATGGCAGCAGGTCATCTGAAAGCAAAGATGTTCTGATGGATCTTCTCAGACAGGATGAGCTCTGGGCCCACCCTTTCCAGGAGCCTTTTTCTCCAGTGTGAAACGAGAAGCATTATTTATCTAGTTTGTCACCTGTACTGACACTGCAGGCCTAACTCACTGCAAGCACCACTGCAGCACCACTGATCCCACAGAGAGCCCAGTGCTGTATGTGTGGTATGAGAATAAAAACCACATGTGCAGAGGCAAGTGAGCACCTCTGGCATGCATGAAAACATCCTTGCCCACAACAAGACACATCACTGGGAGCCCTAATATGTTGTCATGGTATATCCTAATGGTCACACAGGATAGAAGCATTCACTGCAGACTGGTGCTGGTTAGTAGTGCAGGAGTCAGGGTGCTCAGCTCAAAAGGATGATCATCTACAAATCAGCCTAGAAAGTATGCAGGGCTCACAACTGCCTGGAGGGGGGGGGGGGGGCAAAAAAAAAAGGAAAAGACAGGCTAAATTGAAAAAAAATACAAGTAACCCTTGGGGGCAAAAAATCCACTCACTAAACCTCTTTCTACTGATGATTTCTGCAGGCAGCCCTGAGAGCCCTGACCTCTCTCACAATGTACCATTCTCAGGAGAGCAGAGCACTGAGGCTGCAGCAGAAATTAAACACAAGTCAGCAGTTTCCAGCCATCTACAATGGTGCTCATTCAAGCAAATGGATATATTTGTTGACCAGCTGGAATGGGCAAATTTTCACCCTGTGTAAGGAGAGAATTCTGCTTCTGCAGATCACAGCCATAAAATGCCAAACTCCTATAGTCCATACAGTTTGGAGGGATTGCCTGATGGATCAAAAATGCTACAAGAAAGAGCTAAAAAAAAAAAAAAAGCAGGGGAAGTTCCATAGTATCATTCTTCTATACCACAAGCAATCCAAAAATACTGATTTTAGGTGACTTTGAGTCACCTCTCTCTACCATTAAATAGAAAAATACCAGCTTCTGATGTTTCTCTTCCACATTTCCCAACCTCTCGACCCATTTATTGCTGCACTATTCAATGCAGCTTCAGAAGTAAGGATTTTCTCAGCATGAGAAATAAGAATTTGGTTCAATGAAATATTCTATTCAAGATTTTTGAAGACTTCTAAGCTGATTTAAGGTCTTTGTCTGAGTACAAAGAAACACATCAGTCACCACAAAAATACAGTCAACTCCGTGGAGGAACTTTGTAAGGTAATGAAATGAAGAGTGCAGTCATTTCACAACACTCTCCTTGTCTTTTATAAGAGCGAGTCTTGCAGAGTGAGGTTTCACAAGGTCATGAAATAACAGCCTGCATCAGGAAATGGAAGAGATCCTTTCCAAATGAATGCAATTAATCCAGTGCAGAAACTCAGACTGGAATTTTGCCATAGCTATCATCTAACCATGAGTATGTAACTGGATCCTTAAGAGCAGCTCACCATGTCCCTACACAGAAATCTCCAAAGGATCGTGTCCTTACAAGGACAGACTTCTCCATATTTGAGTTTGGCTAGGCTCAGACCTTTCTGAAATGTATGGTTTTAAGTGGAAAATGGTGTCCTTCAAGCACAAGAGCAGATAAACACCAGAGACCTTTAAATGTTTTGGTTGTGTTAAGGTCCCTGTGGAAAGCCCTTGGTGTAAGAAAACTCTGAAAAACTGCCCAGGAAAGGCCTGCAGGTTCTGACTACCCATTACACAGCCCTGAGCCACCCACAAATGCTGGTGGCACAGAGCATGGTGTGTAGGAAGAGCTGCAGTGCCTGTTGCTGTACTCATGTGATGATATCCCTGCCATGATCTGTTTCGTAAGACAAGGACTTCCTTCACTGAAGTGCTGTGTCTCAGAGGATGGGGAAGGCAGGAAAGCCCTAATGGCTCCTTACAACTGCAGCAAATTGAAAAGAAAGCTGATTTTCCCCTCAGCTAGAGCCTGTGTCACTGTAATACAGGGGGTGGGGGGAGAATCCTTCCTTGGTAGAAGCATTTCCATAGAGTTGCACCAACTACCGCAAAAGTGGTTAGGTTTTTTTCATATAAAACATATTGGGGAATAGATCTCACAAGGACAATTGTGGAATTAATGGATTGTCCTACCAGCTGCCTAATGAGCATCCCACTCTGGCATGGCCAGTTGATGGGGTAAGTATCCAGAGTCCCCTTCCTCAGTTAGCAGCACACATGCCAAGGAAGGCACCCAGTGCCTCACAGGTCATGGCTCAGCCCCAACAAGGGCTAAGCAGGCTAAAAGTCTTAACAAAGCAACTGCTGTCCAGCCCCAGGCACGTCTGACAGGAAACAGGGGGGCGTTGCTCATGGTACTTGTCCTATAGGTATCGTACAATGGAGTCTGTGCTGAGACTGACACGAACGTGCCCTCCCCTACTACTGCCTGGGGAAAAACAATACGTGCCTAGAAGATTTCAGAACACAAAACAGTTCAAGAAGCAAGGGGGAAAAGGCTGGGGTTTCCTTTCTGAACATGAATTTCTGCAGATGCTTTAATTTGAGCAGCCAAGAGATCAGATGATCTGAAACACTATAGGCATTACAATAAGGCAGGAGGGTAGAGGGGTGGGGGGTGAGGGTGTCTTTCACAGATAAACACAGGCAAACCCTCCTATCCAAAGCATTTAGGTGCCAAAAGCCCACGAGGAGTGCACACATTTACGAAGCAGAGCTATAAATGACAGAGGGGTGTGACACAGATATATATGCACGGAAGTCTATAAAAGAAGGCTGGAGAGGTCAGCCAAGTCCTGCACTGCTTGTAGCCATCCAGACAGGCTGAGCAGTAGCTGAGAATGGATTAGCAAGCTGAGAGTACCAGTTGCCTATTTTCCCAGAACATGCATGTTCAAGTAACACAACACACACATACAAACACAGATGTATACACTCCCAAACACACACTGCTCCAGCAATGCCCATTCCTGAATCACATCTCCCCCACTCTCCCCTGAGTCACCTCCTGTTGGGAGGTTTGAAAAGCTGAAGGTAGGAGGACTAGGGAGAGGTATACCCAGTCTCCATCTCCTCTCTACACAAGCTTGTCTGATCCCTCTAGTACATCCTGAGGGACTTCATCGGGTGCCCAGAAGTGTATGCACAAAGGGTAAACTCTGGTAGGAAGGGAGAGGGGATGGATCCTGCTGTAGGGATCTCATGCAAATTCCTGGTACTTTCTACAAA